TTGATAAATACGCAGCCAAGAAAAACCCCAAAACCCCATTCATCAGCATTGTAAATAAAAAGCAAGTTAATTTAATAAGATTATTACAAAATATTATATCAGGAAAATTCATGCCGAATTAAAGAGCTAAATTAGCAGCTAACTTAATCAGCAATATTCTATAAGAGCTGTCTGTTGGCTAGCATGAAACTGGACTTTATTACAAAAGGAAACGCTATGTTTCATCTGTCATTGGAGGAATTCTTACTATTTTAGCTCTGCTATTCTTAATTATCATCGGAGCTCAGCTGATAAGTGATGTACAAGAGAAAAAAGAGATTAAAACTATTACAAGGTATGACTTTTAACCTATTGAACATTAAAATATTACGTTTAAGGAGCTTTTCACCTAGCTCAATGTTCAAATTTAGATAATAGCTCGAGAATAGTCTTATCTCCCTCAACTATCTTGCTCTAATTTCTATCCAACCTTTCATGTTTATAGCCTCAAGACTAAGTATGAATACTGGTATAATATGACTTGTGAAAATAAGCAAAATTTTTTAGAAATAGCTTTTAATCTGAGCAGGAATATTGATGAGTATTTTCAGTATGTGACTGCTGATGATTTAGTAACAGTACAAGTTGTCACATTTGATAAGAAATTTAATACTGATAACTACTTTGTTCTATTTTAAAGTGACAGTTCTTTCTTTAATGGAAACAAAGTGCAACGTATATAGTTTATGTCACTTCCACTAAAATTCAGAAATTAACACATCATTAATATGGGAATCATGATAATTAAATCTACCGAGTCTTTGTGGCAGCTTGAAACTCAGTTCGAAATAACTTAAATGTATTTGACCATGAGAGATCCAACTTATAATTTTGAGTAATTCAAGGATAATACTCTCTAGATGGTCTTCAGTTTCAACAAGTTCTTTCAAAATTATCCTATTTAGACCATATACCTTGAACCAGCGAGTTACTTTTCAGCGATTTCAAAGCTTGGAGGGTACTTTAGTGTGCTTTCAATACTTGGCATTCTGCTGATGAATTACCATTAGTGGAGATTTGAAAGAGAGCTTTTCTATAAGATGAGACAGATTTCGATCAAGGAAGATTAAAAAGATGTTACAAGAAAACAAGTTGAAGAATCGCTTAGTTTTGACAAACTATTTGAACTGTCATAAGTGAAGACATTAAAATAAACTGAAGAAAATAGAAGAGAAGAATCTCCTTTCAAGTAAGAGCGACTCTAAAATCAAGATGACTTTCCAGATCATTATCGCTAGCATCGTCATCCCTAACATATTCATTCTGCTGCATCATTTAGCCTAAATAATAGCACCATAAAAAATAAAAACAACAGTAGAAATAAAGATAGAATATCCTCAGCCAGGTAAAGTAAAGATGAGCTAGAAATGCAATAAAAGCTTTTGAAAGTTAATATTGATTTTTGAGATAATTAACAGTCAATTTATTTGATAGAAATATCAATCCTGATCTTTATCTTAAGGGGTTTTGGGGTTTTGGGG